TTCCTCCTTCTTGTCGGCAGCATCAGTCTCAGATGCCGGGGCATCTCCCTTCTTCTCCCCCTTGAGCTTTTTCCTTGTTATGTGTCCACGGAAGCTGGCCTGGATTTTGGTGGCTGCCTTATGAGCTTTATCTTCTGGTTTGATGCCATCTTGCTCAATCTTTTGGTCTCCGTCCTCATTTTTTTCAACCTATGAAGAAGAACAAAGGAGGAAGACAGAGGAGAAAACAGGGAGGTAAATTAAGATTTCTCCAGGTGCAGCCCAGGCTCTGGTTTTATAGAGAATGTCCCACCTTCCCCTCCTGCTAACCAGTGACAAGTTTCAAAGCAGCCTTTCCATTTGGTATGGGTGTGAAGCCAGGTGGCTCTAATTACATCCTAGGGCTGGACAGACACAGTGGGTTTGTAAAAGGACTTTAAAGCACCTCATCATCTCTGTCAGCAATGCTAAGAGCACCTTGGCTGTGTGGAAAGGCTTGCACCAGCTGGGTTGTCTCTATTCCCATGATTTATTTTCCCATCCATTTTGAAATATACCAATTTTTTCCCTTACACATTTTCAAAACACTCTCCCGAGGGGGATTTTCACAGTCCTTCCAAATCCACCTTTGCCTTCAAGTCTTTGTTTCTTTTTAATGACACCTTGTTTCACAGGTGTGTGACTCTAATGGCATGAGCATTTTGTCCTTTATGGCTTTTTGGCTCAGGATTGCCAACAGAGAATAGTATTGCTGCCCGCCCCACGGCAGACGCATGCTGTCAGACATACACAGATATTCACAGGATACACTCCTGACAAATGCCCTGCCTGCAAGCACCCCAAGCACTTTGCCTCTGCTTCCCACTCACGGTTTCAATGAAGGAATAATAGGCAGATAGATATCAGTCGTTCCAGTTTCAGCAGATGATTATTATATCTCTGACTATTGGGGGGAATTCAGCCTTACAACAAAGAACTGTCATTCCCTATGTTTTTTAGACTTAAGCCATGCATTAGTCTTAAATGGGACTAAAACAGAGCCTGTGCCTCGTGCTGGTCTGCTGCAGACAGATAATGCTCAGCTTGTAAACCCCCACTGAATCTACAGGACATACCATGCTTCACCCCAATAATTTAGCAGCCCTTGGGCAAGTAACAGCTCAGCTGCGTATTGATGAAAGGACACTGTTATATTAATATTCCCACTGGGAAGCATTCAGAAGAGCTACTCAGAAGCAGAGCCACCAGCCTCTTTGCTGTCTGCATCTGGTTTTCAACACTGGCTCAGGTCACTAAAGAAGGACAACGAGCTGGCTGAGGAAGACAGCAAGTGTTTATTCCTGGGTGGGAAGAGGAAGCCGCTCCTTAGGCTTTTCCACCTGAGAGATGCCATCTGGGGGAAGGCCCAGGACCAGAGCAGCAGAGAGAGGGGACAGCCTATAAATACATTCAAAAAGAGTGCAGCAGGAAAAATGGAGAAGCAGCCACTACAACATACATGTGCGGCACTGGAAACACCATGCCTGTGAAGAGGGGCAGAGAGGACTGGCCACACTGGCAGCGATAACTGGGAAACAGACTGGAAGTGATCATTTCCACAGAGTGAGACAGGGTCGGGCACACACACGTGAGCGAAGCCATGCCAGCAACCAAAGGCCTGGCCACTGGCATGCCAGAGGTGGTACCCACTATCTCCCCCCAGGTCCCCAGTGAGCACAGGATCCCCCACCCTAGCCCTGGTCCCCACCTGGGATCGTTCCCCACGTAAACAGGGGAGAGCTCGAGTGGGTTCGGTGAGCTGGAGTGGGTATGGTGGCCAAGGAACAAGTAGCCCCAAATCATCAAGGAAAAGAGCCCCTCCACACAGCTGCACAGGGGTGAGGATGGGTCTGCACACAGCAGGAAAGAAGTCTGAGAGTGAGACTAGGTGCCAGGATGCTTAGGTACGGGGTGAGTGAAAAAGCCCGTGCGTGAACACACAACTGATATTAATGCACAGAATTCAGCACAAGGCATTTTTGCGCTCTGACCATGCCCAGGAACAAAACAGTGGTTGTACCTTTCACAGGGGCACAGCTGAGCAGATACGTCTACGCTTCCCCACAGTGCATGAAGTGACGTAGTACGGAAAGTGGGCTTCCATGTTCGTGTCAGCTTGTCAGAGAGCAGGTGATGGTTATGTGTAAAGACGATGCAGACATTAGCATGCCATAACCATTCATGTATGTCTTCTGCTCGCACAGCTAACTCTGCACTGTGTTACTGAGCACCTGGGCTAAGCTTTTCAGCCTATTTCAGCACCAGTCGGAAGTACCTTTAAACTAGCATGTTCACAGAAAGCTGTGATCCAGCCAGGGTAGTGCAGAGCTCTGCACAGGCTCACCCATCCCGTTCCTCAGGCAAGTTCTGCAGCTTGCAGCAAGTCCTGTGTTGCTGTGGCAACATAACTACTAATACCTGGACTAGCTGGTTTAAGGAGAGCTTCAGTATGCCTGCATTACACTGTAGCCACAGCAATGTGAAGATAGACTAGGTACTCCTTTATAGCACTGTGTAACACTTAGATGCCCTAGCTTTGACTTCCTCTCCCTAAAGACTGTGGCCAATTTCAAACACCAGCAGGACTGAGAGACTGGAAAGACAATTTAGACGTAACCACAAGACCCTAACGGTCCGTCCCATATGCCTGATTCCTGCAAAACCATTAGTGAACATGATAAAATTGTTAATCCCTGGACGAAGATGAAAATCACTGACTGAAGGGAGATCTCTCTTGCCTCTGGCCTTGCTGCTCTCACATCCCACATCCCTCCTGCGCCAACCGGCACAGCTGTTAAGAAGTGTGGCCTGCTGCAGGCATGCCTCTGGCTCCAGAGGAGTTACCCTGTTACCTGGGCCATGCAGCTCTGCGAAGGGTTATCTCCATCCCGCTGCTAGCAGAAGGCTGGGGTGCAGGGAGCCGCAGGGTTGGCTCCCCTGCTATTCTGACAGATGAACTCCGGAGAGCTGTGACTGGCAGCCAGCCCTCTACCTGGCAGGGAATGGGAGAGCACTTTTCCTCTCTAGGGAGGTCAGACTCAAACCTCTCACCCGCACCTACCGCACAACAGAGCTAAAAGGCTTCTTTGCTATTCCGATGACATCATTGTCCTCTTATCCCAGTTGGGATGACATCAGTTTGAGTCCTTGCCAGAGCACAAGGTTTGCAACTGCAAAATGTATTTCCAACAGGGTGCTTTCAGCATAATTTCAGTTATAGGAGATAAGAAACATGAAGCTGAGGCAGAGGTGGAGTTTAAGGTCATGGATGAAAGAAATGTACTAATAGTTTGTCTGTGCCAACTGTGGCCCTCAGGAATCCCATTTCTATTCAGTCCTTCCCCACTGAAGCATCTCAGGCATTTGAAGTGACTTATTTTCAGGCTACTGGCCTGCAGCTACTTCTGGGGTAGGACACGGTATCCATACAGTATGTGTGTCATGTTGTATAACAATGGGTTGGGTGAGAAACAGATTGTTCAGAGGGAAACTTCTGTTCACACAAAAAAAAGACAACGGCTCTTCATCTGTGGATTACGCACACAGCAGATAAACCTTAATTAAGGAAGCTGCTCAAAAATAACCTGTATATAGTGAAGCTCCTGGAAAGCAATTTATCTTTCTTGGAAAGCTAAGAGTGAGTCAGCCCTGCCAGGATGTATTCAAAAGCATCTCAGTGGAAAACAAGAAATCTGTCTGTCTTATCTATCTGCCATGCGTGTATGACATCTTGGTTGTAGTATTGTGGCTGGAATAAAGTGACTATTATTACTAGCTGTCATGGTGTTTGTACAGAATCTAGAGCTCTCAGCCAGCAATCAGATCTGGTAAGGATCGGTTTCATATATTAGTGTTCCATCAAACTCCCCTTCATTTACACATTTATGTGCAAACTCATACTAGTACTTAATATTGACATATTCATTATATTAGAAGTGTGCATGCAATGTATTGTCATTTTACACAGAGCAAATGTCCTCTGTTTCATTTAGTGTGAAACAAATCATAGATCCTTCAATGGCAGAAGGACTTGAAATCACTGAAGGTGGTGGATACATAGCTATATGGATGTATAAAAGGACACCCATAGTCAAATTTGTCCATTTTTTTATTAGGACCACCCCCACATACCCACTGAAGCCAGAGTGCAAAGCTTTGCCTTTATGAAACACACTGTTAAGCTTTTATGTCTCTATCTACACAGCCCACAACATCTTTCCAATCCTAGAGGGATGATCCTCTCACCATCTCCATCTGCTTGTCTGCCACACCTCCAGTTTCTAGGACATCCCTTCCCAGGCTGACTGTTCCTGTAAGTGAGAGTTTCCTTGCTGTCATATAGCTGAGAGAGTAGGAGATAAGAAACTCATGTTTAAGACACAGGCAGGGCAGAGGTCAGTTCTTAGGTACCAGGCATGAGGAAGCTGCATGGAGCCATGACCCCAAGAAGATTTCTAATCTCTGGCCATCTTTCCACCTTCCACTTCCAAACTCACAGTTTACAGAGGGGTCAAAATATGGCAAAGAATGAAGAAAGTGTTACTATAACCTCCAGGCCCTTCTAAATGTTCCACATGCTGGTATGTCAGGAAAGGAGAAATGGAGAAACTAGACGTTTTCCAGATGTTCCATGTGTTTGCAGCCACACATAGGCAAAGAGCAAGAAAGGAGGGGACTGAGTGTTTTGGTCCTTGCTTACTGTTTGTCCACTTGTCTCCTGTGGTGTACCTCATTGCCTGACCTTGGAAAAATAATCACATAGTTTTGTGTATTTTGGATGCTGGGATGGAGAGATCAAGAAAGATCTTGCTGTTCCATTAAAAGGTCTTTCAATATTATACGATCTCCTCTGCCCCTCTCTATCTCTCTCCCTTTCCTGATGTTTCTCTGCCCACCAATATATAGCATGTGCCAGCCTCCTCAGTGTTCACCCTAGGATCAGACTGCTGAGTGTATACTCAGTCATCATCCTGGTATCCTGTTCCTTTCTGTCCTTAGATAGGAGCTCCTCTTTAACAAGACACCAAATTCCAGAGCCCTTCAATTCACATTGCCATCTCCTGGTATTTGGAAACCCATGTGCCACGAGTCCAGACTTAGGACTTACACAGCTTTCACCAGAGAAGGCATCAATACTGGCCAGAGCCTCGACATCCGTAGGACCAGTGACA